CCTCTGACCTTGAAGCTCCTTCAAGTCTCCAGCCAACCCGTCATTTGTGATTCCGAGGTAGGACATTCTTGTAGCAGGGGGGGAAAGGCAGGATTCGTGATTCCTATACACCTGGGATCAAGGTGTGCGTTTTCAGTCCAACCTGAGCTGAGCTCACCCTTCCTTTTTATATATAAGAAAAGCTGGAAAGAACACAGAGGGCTCCTTTCCCACAGGATTCCTTCTGCAAGCAATAGCCGTCACTTCCTAAAAGGCCCCCTTCTCCATTTTACGATCAAGTGGTCCTTTGTCCTTCCCCCTCTCTCTGCCAGGGTGTCTCCATAATCGAAGGTGGGAACACAATGAATTGGGGAACTGTGCTCGCTCTGGGGCCGCGCCAAGTGCAGGGTGAGCTGTGGGAGCCAAAGGGGAGGAGGGGTCCATGGAGCCCAGCCCTGCCTGGTCCTCGAGCCTGGTCAACCCAGGGATCTGGTCCTTCCTTCCTCCCATCGTTCAGTGTCTCGTTACTGTGTGCTCAGACCCGGTGCCCCCCGCTACCCCCCAGCATCTCATGGTAGCAGCTTTCCCAAGCCGCGTGCTCGGCACAGCTAGCCAGCCCTCATGTGGGAACCAGATGGATTTCAGTGAGAGACGTCTCACCTCTGTCAAGGTGCCCGAGGAGCGCTGTCATGGTTATGTGCCCTCGGGGGTTAGTCCCTTCCCCCTAGCAGAAAGGCTCTTTGGAAGACCTAGGGGTACACCAGTAACCGACCATGGATGGGCTCAGGGTCAGGTTTGTCCTTGTGCTCCCGGGGCACTTCCTGGCCCATCTCCTTCACCCCAGGGCCCATCCACATTGATGGGGGTGGGTGGGGGTTAAGCGCGGCACTGATGCTTCCTCAGGGCCCCAGGAATGGGCCAGGGGACAGGGGGTCACCACACAGCTCCATGGGCCTGTGTGGTTCGTGCTAAAGAAGCTGGGTCAAGTCCATCCTCCCGCAGAGTCCCAGGAACGCTCAGGGAGGCTCAGAGAGCTCCTTCAACAAGATCCCCACTTAAGTTTTTTTTTATTTTTTTAAGTTCTAGTATTTCCCAAGCCAGTTATTAACAGAATGTGTCTTTAATGGAGCATTTATTAATCTCCTTCAGAAATGTTCTTCCAACACATCCTGGGAAATGTTGGAGCCTTGGGAGAACTCTGGTTCTGACTTCTAGTCTCGACTTGCCAATTTGCTGGCTTTGGGCAAATGACTTCATCTCCCTGACCTCCATCTGCTTTGTTATGTGACAGACGTCATGATCCCTGTCCGGCCTACATTTCAGGGGGAGATGTGACTGTATTCGGGAACTTCTGAAAACTGCTACTGGGCTCCAATCCTGCCGGACCTGATTCCGTTGGCCAGAACCAGGGTCCACGAAGAATCTGCATTTCCTACGCACCAACAGACCCAAGCCCTCCGTTTAGGGTCTACCTTGTCTGCACAACGCACGGTCAGTGGCCCCATCCTGGCCCATCAGAGCAGGCCAGAGAGATAAAGAGAAGAGCATTTCCCACAAAAATGGAAAAGGCCTCAAATTTAGCATTTCAGAGCTCTGCCCAGCTTCACGTTCATGCCTGAGGTTCTGTTCACCAACTGCCTCTTTTATGCACCGGGAAACCCATCATTAAGTTGTCGCCCATGCGGTTGGAGACAATCACTTCTAAGAGGGGTTTGCCTTGGTGAACGGGAACTCAAGCCTCAGCAGCACCCGCCCTACCTGTGATCAGCTCGTGCCAGAGACGAGCTGAGCCCGTGCACGTGATACCGCACCGGCCCTTAACGTTCCTCTGCAAAGGCCGGGTCTTCATCCCCCAGAATCCTCCAGAATCGGCCCCGAGAGGAGTTAGGTAACTTGGCCAGAGTCGCACAACTGAAGAGTAGTGTCAGCTTGGATTAGGGCTTCGACAACAGCACACGCCAGTCCTGGATTCCTAGCAGGCTCCCAGTCCCCGGCGTCTAGGCTCGGCCTTCAGGATTTGGAACAGTTTCCCACGCCCAGTTCCCTCCAGGTCTCTAAGTACCTCCCAGATACGCCGCTGAGACAGTGAACATCAAACATTCCTCAAACCTGTGCACGCGATACGAACAGCTTCTGCTGTGTGCGCGCTGCAGGGAAAAGCCCACCGTGGCGGGGGGGGGGGGGGGCGGCGCACGAGAGACAGACCCAGAGCACAGGCCCTGCTCACTGAGGAGCCTCACAGATCGACAGGGAAGAGCTGTTTGGGGGACAATCGGGCACATCTGATCACGGACTAGGTATGATGTGAAATCCCTTATTTCGACAGCTGCAGTAAGACACCGTGTGCTTCTACAGGAAAAGCATTCTCAGGTGGGCAGGGGTGAAAGGATGGGCCTGGGATAGGTCATTTGAGGAAAGAAGGGGGACCCACAGGTAAAGCAGATGCAGCAAACTTTTGGTCCTTGTTCCAAGTGGGTGGGGTGCGGGGGGGCTTGGGCACACAGTTCTTGTTTCTGTGCATGCTTGAGACGTTCCCTAGGTAACAAAACGTCAGCTCAGAGACCTGGATGTCACACCGGCTTCTGGGGTCCTCACCCACCCTCAACTTCCCATCTGCCCCAGGCCCGGGAGTCCCTGTCCTTAGAGCCAGTTCCCCAAACGCAGCCACGTCCCTGCAGCCCGCCCTGGCTCCCTTGCGACCAGACTGGGTTTTCTACCGGGGGAGGCCACAGCCCGGGGACCGGGGAACCTGCCCCCAGAGCCCGCTCTGCACGTGCCCGGGCTAGCCCACCCCACCTACCCTCCTTCCTTTGCTGAGAAATGAGCGCAGCGGTCCCCACCTCACAGACTGCTGCGGCCCGCGACCGGGCAACATTTCCGAGCACGGGGTCTGGCTTTTGCCAAGTGTCCCCGGGTATCAGTTGTCACTCTCATTACCTGAATTTCCATCTGATCATACCTTATCCCTATGCCAGCAGCGGTTCCCCACCGGGATGCTCGGGGAAGGTCAAACTCTGGACTTCCTGGCCGAGGCCCAGCTGCTTTGATGCCTGTCCCCTCACGAGCACGATGGGAAGTTCACCTCCGCCCTCTCTCGGCTCTCCGGGCTCCCACCCCCCACACCCACTCCTCACCATGGCCCCTGTCACAGGGACGGTTATCCCCCTCCTGCCTAGCTCCTCACTCTACAAGCTCCTGGACCCATCTGGGGTCACGTCTCCCCCAGGGCCCCGACTTTCTACAGTCAACGTAGGGCCAGACCCGTCGGTCAAGATACTCTCTGGCAATTCGGTTTCCGGGTTTCAGAACTGAACACATCTTGACTTCTGCCTCAGGGCCTTTGCCTGGTGTTCCTCAAACTTCAAACGCACGTGAACTGCCCGGGATTCGGAGGGGTACCTGGCTGACTCGGTTAGTAGAGCACGTGAGTTTTTATCTCAGGGCTGTAAATTCAAGCCCCACGTTGGGTGTAGTGATTACTTAAAAATAAAATCGTAGAAAAGAAGAATGTAGATTCTGGTTTATTAGGTCTGGCGGGGGCCAGCCTGAGATTCCGCATTTCTGACAAACATCCTGGGAGGGCCATGCTGCAGGGCCCAGGACCACATGGAGAAGCAAGACTTACTCCTACCCTTCGCCAGGCTCAAGCTCAAGGTCCCAGCTCACACATCACTTCAGAAAAAAGGGCTTTTCTGGACACACCAATTCAGAGGCCACGCCTTACTCCAAGAGCCCAGGCCTCTTCCTCGGGGCTTTGCGTGGACTGCGCAACATCTCTCCAGCTCGCCTAGAAGCCCCGGGAAGGGCACTGCTCTGTTCTCCTGACCGTGCCAGATGAAGGCCTGCGAGCCCCAGACCCACCTTCCCTCCTGAGTCTTCTGACAGCAAGTCCCTGAGGGAAGGCCCGTGTGCTCCCCATGGAAGAGGACACAGAGCGGGGTACAGACCTCCTGTTACACTGGCCACGCTGAGAACTTACCAGATGCAACCGTCCTCCCACAGCTGGAAGGACCAGTCCGCCTGCGCCTGACTCAACTGGAAAGCAGATCCTCCGGGAAGGCTCACCTAAGCCACCCCTCCAGAACCTGCTTCCTGTCCCCAGCCAGCCCCCGCCGGATCACACACTCTGCCGGAAGAGCTGCCACCAGGAGAGGAGAGGCGGAGACGGCACATGCTAGTGAACGGAACCACTGGGACGAAGCTCCCGTCAACCCCAAGTCCCCCGGGACCTCAGTGTCGGGGCTGCCCCAGCTTCCTGCCCTGCCCCCCCCCCCCACCCAAAAGTGTTCGGAGCAGTCTCTGCAGCCTCGGTCCCTGTCACATCCCACCGGAACATGCCACCACTCACCCACGCACGCCAGGAACGGAGACCCCTGATGCCCTCCACCCTGGTCAGGAAGACACCCCAAAGCCTGGATGGTTAGGTGTCGGAGGCAACGTGCACCCGCAGGACGGCCAGCCCTCCCCACCAAGCCCAGGTCCTCAACTCAACCAAGGCTCCAAAATGGAGATGTTCTCTAACACAGTTACGAAGCTCAATTTTCAGTAATTGTTTTATTCCATCATGAGAGCCTACCCTCTCTCTTCCATCACCCTAACATACCACCTGTGCCCTAGGTCACCTCTCCTCAGGCTGTACTGATTCTGAAGAGGTGGGGCTGCCTATCCCAGGTTGGGGGTCTTTTCACTCCGAGGCTGAGCCTTGGAATCAGGCTCCCGGGGCCTGGGGGACCTGGGAACCCCTCCTCGTCCCGTGGCCGTTGGCTTGAAAGCAGAAGGCATGGCAACGCCCCATCCTGCACAGAGGTGCCACTCTCTCAGGACCGGGTGGCGGCCCAGAGGTCGGGCTGGAATGTCATCCTTGGCAGGGCGCTTGGTGACAGTTCCTTGTGCCGTACAGTAAGAAATGAAAACTAAAGCACACGGACAGTCAAATCTTCTCCAGCGGATAATTCCTCAGATAACAGTAAAATAAAACGCAAAAAAAAAAAAAAAAAAAAAAAAAAAAAAAATCAATGTGATTTGGCAAATGTTTTCTTAAATTTTAAATTAAAAGAAAAAAAAAACCAATCACACAGAAGAGATTCAACTTATCTGCTTTGAAGAAATATATTAAAGAAAACGGAAGGTTAAAAAAAGCAATCACACCCCAAATAATGGTAAAAATAGATGTATCCTCTGTAAAAATCTGGGCTAATCTACGGAGTCATTCTTACCTATTCAGTATTCAGAGCATGAGGTGAAACCCCAGAGTATTAAAAAAAAAAAAAAAAAAAAAAAAAATTAAAAACCAAAGAGATCCTGCCCTTGTGTTAAGCCACCAGCTGCATGGCTCGCTGAGGGCTCTGGCCACCGGCTGCTGGGGGCTCCAGTGTCTGGTCCCTCCCGCCCACCAGACCTCAACTCAAGGCCTTCAAAGGTCGTCCCTGGTCCTGCTCAGTTTTGTGGCATGTTCTTCTACAAACTTGCTCAAATGTTCCAGATCTCTGTTTCCATCCTCGAATTTAATTGGGTTCTTTTTGTCCCCGCTGGGGGCGAAGTAGATGGTAGGGAACCCCTCAACTTTGTAGCGGTCGTTGGGGATGTCGTTGGCAGTGGCGTCCATCTTGGCGATGACCAGGCTCTGGTGGTTCTTGTACTTCCTGCCGAGGGCGGTGTACTCCGGCTCCAGCTGCCTGCAGTGCCCGCACCAGGGCGCGTAGAATTCGATGAGGACGTCCTTCTTGGGGTCCATCACAATGGAGTCGAAGGTCTTCCCCACCACGACTCTGACAGGCCCCTTGTTGTTCTTGGGCACCGGCTGGGACTTGACGACTGGCTTCAGCTTCCCTGCCGAGCAAAGCAAGCAGGGGAACGGTGAGTGCCGAGAAGGCCCCGGGCTCGGCGGCTCAGACAGGACCAGGCCGCGAGGCCAGGCCTGACGTACAGGGGGACAGCGCCAGCTGGAGCCTCGCCACCTCACACTGACCCCGACTTCTCTAGTCTCTTCACCCCTTCTACCTTCCCAGTCCCTGCAGAGGCCAGAGGGGATGCTGATGGTCCCACCCACGCCTGATGGGCCACCAGGTCCTGTCCGGTGAGGCTGTCCCAGGAGAGGTGCCACCCGGCACAAAGGGGCTGCCGGGAGAGCTGGCGGCCAGGGCTGGGAAGCCTCTGTGGGCAGAAGCACAGAGAACATGGCAGATGGTAGGACAAGGTCTACCCACGACTCGGCCCACGCCAGGAAACTGGGCCACTGGGCTCAAACAGATCGATAAAGATATTCTAATGCCTCAAAACAAGTATTCCATGTATGTAAAACTCATTTCTAGGTCCAAAGGACTGTTTTGCTTTAAATATTTTTTAAAATAAGGCTCACCTTTTTTGAAAGCTCTGACAAACTCCCGGAGGGTGTCAGAGTCAAAGTCGTCAGGCTCCATGGCGAACTTCCGCCCGCCCTCGTCCAGGATGGCGGCGTTGACGTCCTCCCCGCTCTCACTGAGCCCCAGGTCCTTCACCTCCGTGGCGAAGTCATCCTCATCAGCCACGGCAAAGGTGTACTCGGGGAAGTCCTTGGCCACCTCCAGGACTTTGTTCCGCCAAAACTGGGTGGCTAAAATGGGAGCAAGCACTGTGAGCTGAGCGACAGAGATCAAGGTGAAGAGTCTGTGGTTCAGGGGTGCCTGGGTTAAGACAGGGTTAAGTCTCTGTCTTCAGCTCAGGTCATGGTCTCAGGGTCCTGGGATTGAGCCCCGCATCGGGCTCTCTGCTCAGTGGGGAGCCTGCTTCCCCTGCTCTCTCTGCCTGCCTCTCTGCCTACCTATGATCTCTATCTGTCAAATAAATACATAAAATCTTAAAAAAAAAAAAAAAAGAGCCTGGGGTTCAGACTCTCTGACCAGGCTTGCGCCTAACTTGGAGGGAGAAGCATTTCTGAAAAGCCCCCTTTGTAAGCAGGTGGACCCACGTCAAAAGCCCAATGACATAAGCCCCTGCCTGAGGGTTAGTGACTGGCCTAGTCCCATCTGTGCAGTCTCTGAAAGCCTCCGGTTTTGGTGGCCTCCTCTCCGAGAGGGTTCTGGACTCTGCACCACGTTCCCCACAGGCTAGAAAAGGGCTATGTGGCACCATGGAAATAAAACTACCTTGAAGCCATCAATTAAAACTCCACCCTAGCCACCAACCTGCAAGGGCCTGGGGGCAGGATTCCTAAATGCGAGGGCCCCGCAGGCAGGATGGGCCTGGGCCAGGGGCGGGAGGGAGTGTGCGTGGGGCGAGTGTGGCGGGGGAGACTGCGTAGGGGGGCGCTCACCAGCTCTGTAATCGAAGCTGAAGTCCACGCTGTAGTAGACGACCACCAGGGGGCGCCGCGTGTACCGCTTGGCGTCGTTGGAGGTCTTGCGGTGCCCCACCAGCGGCAAGGTGTGCTTCAGCACGTGGTCCTTGATGGCCGACCCCTCCGTGGAGCTCTGCAAAAAAAGCGGGGAAGGTGAGGAGCAGAAGAGGCGTTCCTGCCACCCCACCTTCTGCTGCCACCGCTGAGCAGGAGGCCGTCTGCTGTCAAGGGCGGGGGTAGGGAAGGAGCTGTCTGAAGGTCCCTTGGGGCCCCTTTCCTCCAGTGACCCCTAAGTGAGCTTCTCGGGCCACTGCGGACACCACGTGCCCTTCCCCCTGGGTCTGGGCTCACTGTGGGTGTGGGAAACCGCTGGGGGAAGGCGGGCTTCCCGAGGGCAGCAGTTCCCGCGGGTGAGCTGAGCAGAAGGATCCATCTCCCCAGATCCGATCCTCCCAGCAGCCCCCGGGGCCCATTTCACAGACCAGGCCAGCACAGCACCTGCGGTAAAGGGAGGGAGGCCAGGTGCACCCAGCTGGAGGGCAGCCACGCTGGGTTCGTGGTTCTACCTTGGAGGCCACACCACGACCACCCCCTACACAGCCCAGCTGGGTGTCGGGTAAGAACGGGGAGCCAGACAGGGCTGCCGAGCCTGGAGGCTGCTCCACCGGGGGCAGCCCTGCTGGCAGGAGGCCGGGAGGCACGGCCTGCAGGGCTCAGCGGTCTAGCACCAGGCAGCCGTCCTTGGCTCTTAAGCTTGGCTCCTAAGACTCTCCAGGTGTTTTCCAGAGACGAACCCGACAAGGACATGTATGCGGCACCTGTAACCAGGTGGGCACAGTGGCCTGGGGACACAGAGCTGGTGACTGCCCCCAAGGCTGTGCAGGGCCCTCAGCTCATGCTGAGGCAGATACTAAGCCAGATCCTCCAGACCCCAGCCTCAAAGTGCCCAAGGGTGGGCACTACCATCTCATGTTACACAGGAAGAAACAGCACGGCCAGGAGCAGCAGCAGAGCTCAAAACGGCTGGTGAACACGCACTCTCCACCCGGGGCACGAGGCCCCCCAGGATGGGACAGGTCTGCACAACTTGCCAGGTGGGAGGGGGAAGGTGCCTCAGGGGAGGAAACAGCAGGAACCACGCAGGGAACAAAGCACAGAGGATGTGGACCGGAGTATGAGGAGGGTGGAGGGAAAGTGCTGGAAAAGCAGGCGAAGACAACGGCAGGGCTGTGGGGTATCTTTAGTCAGGCCGGCCCCCAGAATGAGTGCCCCTTTGAAGGTGAAATCAAGAGTAAAGCAGAGTGAGCCCAGGGCAAACCCGCTCTGCCGCCGAGCATTCACCAGCCACAGGCCAGACCCTGAACTCAGGCAGAGCCAGCCTCACAGCCTGTAAAGACCTGCTTCTCACCGCAGCGCTTCCCGACTTCCTCCTACCTGCCCTGCCTCTGTCTTCCCTCTGCTCTGAATTCCAAATCCACTTTTTCTTTTTTTAATAGTTTATTTTTAAGTAATCTCTATGCCCAGTGTAGGGCTTGAATTCAGGACCCCGAGATCAAGAGTCGCACACGCCTCCAACTGAGCCAACCAGGCACCCCTCCATGTCCACTTTTTAAAAAAAACTGCAGTTTACTCTGTGGTATAATGTTGACAAAGCAGCATTAAATAAATTTTGCAAGAAGAGTGGTACGTAAGTAATACCAATCCATTTAAAGTAAAGAGTAAAAAGGCAGTGATATGTACAACAAACTAGGCCGAGCGGTCCTTAACCCTTCTGGGGTCAATGACCTCTTCAAGAACCTACTGAAAGCTACAGACCCCTTTCCTGGGAACACGCACACCACCCAGAATGGTGCTGACCGCTGGGGTCTGGGGCGCCCATCTCTGCACCCAGCTCAGCACCCATAGATGAAAGGAGAGGAGCTGGACAGGACAGGAGACAGGGCAGCCACCAGACATCCAAGGTAGAGGGGCGCCGAGCCTGAGCGGCGGCAGACGACCAGACGCGCATGAAACTCTGAGAAGGGGCAACGGGGCTGCGGACCCACCAGAGTCAGAAAGATCCAGGGCAGCCTCTCCAACGCCCCGAGGGTTCCAGTTCACAAAAATGGATCAGAAGGGGTGGTGGCTCCCTGTGGCGCACGCAGGGCTCACCCCACCTTCCCGCCACCTCCTCCAGGTCCCATGAGAGCCCTCTGCCCAAATGGCAGGGGGGAGAGAGGGGAGTCACAGCCCAGCCCCTCCCCTCCACTGCTCCTGACTGGCTGTGGGAGCCGGGGAGACGGCTCACGGCTCTGCACCCCAGGCTCTCTATCAAAGGAAAGCTCTGGCCTTGAGAGCCTTGGTTTCCTCCAAATCTGAAGATCTGCTCACGGCAGCGCTGGGCCCCCGTGCAGCACTGAGGACGCGGAGCTGCACCGAGGCACGGCCTGGGCCAAAAACTCCCTCCGCCCGTCTCAAAGTGAGTCCATCCCTCGGAAGATAAAGGCTGGACAGGCCTGGGGGAGAAAAAAGGAGGCCGAACCCATGCACCACTCTCCACATCCCGGGAAGAGAGGCCTGCCCTCACTCTGTAGCTCAGCACCTGCGCTGCCTGGCTAAGGAGCCCCAGCTCAGACCCAGGAGCACGTCCCTGGCAGGACGACGGCAGACACGCGGGCCAGAGCCACAGTGGCTGGGCCACAGGGGAGGCTGGCTGGTGCTGGCCCTCAGTGGGGCAGGGGAGAGAGGAGGGAGCCGCTCTGGCCTCCCAGTATGTCACTGACCAGCCTGCTGGCTGCTCCGGCTCGGAGCCTCCAGGAAACGCACCCTGACCGCACCGCAAGGGCCCAGGGGGCTGGGAAAGGCACTCCAGACTCTACTTGTGTGAAGCAAAGAGCAAATTCTCCGGGCTTCAGATCCCCAGATCCCCGGGCCACAGCTCAACCAGCAGCCTCACGCACAGCAGAAGCCTGAACCCTGGGGCACCTGGGTGGCTCAATGGGTTAAAGCCTCTGCCTTTAGCTCAGGTCACAATCTCAGGGTCCTCGAATCAAGCCCCGCATCTCCAGCTCTCTGCTCAGCGGGGAGCCTGCTCCCCCCCCCCCCGCCCCACCTCTCTGCCTGCCTCTCTGCCTACTTGTGATCTCTCTCTCTCTCAAATAAATAAATAAAATCTTTAAAATAAAAAAAAATTAAAAAAAAGAAAAAGCAGCAGCCTGAACCCACCTGAATCAGTGGGAACTGATACTACGCTGTGTGTTAACTGACTGCAATTTAAAGACAAACAAACAAACAAACAAAGCAGCCTGGGGCTGCTGTGTCCCGGAGCCACCCCCACCCCCGGCTCACCAGGATGTCCATCACATGGCTCCGGGGCTCGTACTTGGACTGGAATTTCTCAGGCTGCATTACGACCAACTTCCCCGAGGAGACTTTCAGGAACTTTGCTATTTCAGTGCTGAAAGTGTGGTGGAATTTGTAATCTTCTCGCAGGTTGTTCGCTGAGAAATTAACAGAACGATAAATAGAGTTTATTAAGCTGCATCACCGACCTAGACTAAACTCACAGCCGATGCGCTGCAAAGACCGGAATTAGCCCCGTGAATCCCGCGTGGACGACACCCAGAGCTGGGGTAGATGTAACACCTTAGAGCCTCTTACACACTGTGTTTTTAAAAAACCAAAATAATAAGCAAACCAAATGTTCACGGAACAACTCAGAACTAATCTGTCAGGACCACTGTCTCCAGTGCTAAGAAGCACATGAAAGCCACAGGCAGCCCGTGAGAACAGGTGGGCACCACGCTCCCCCGGAGCCACACGGTGGGTGTTCCCGCCCAGCCTCTCCTCCTCGGACTGGTGGCGGGCCTACTTGTGGGCTGCAGTTCTTTTGCTAAATACACTTGAATTTAAATCCTGCAAAACTCTCAAGATAAAAGCCCACTCTCCGAGGACACTTGAGAACGGGGTTGGCAAACTTTCCGGAAAGGCCAGACAAGATCTCCGGCTCTGCAGGCCACAGCATCCCCACCACTCAGCTTCACACTGGGGGGTAAAAGCAGCCGGAGAGCATGTGACCCAGTGCTCAAGCCCCCTTCCTGTCAGCCTATCAGACCCTGGCCAGCCACCCCCCCATGCCCGACATCCCCGGGCTCGCCCCGCAGTCTCCGCTCTGCTGGAGCGGAGTCTGTGATCCAAACACCGGGGAAGGTGTCAGAGGTGCCCCCTGCGCTGAAGGGCGGGCCTCCCGACTGGATTACAGAAAACTCCACATGTTCCGGGGGAGGTGGGAGGCGCCTGTCAAAAGCAGCCAGACATAGACTCCAGTCACAATTCTAGACCTGCTCGTGACACGACTGCAGGCCCGTGAGGATTCCCCTCCCCACGCCGCAGTCCCTCCTCGGCAGAAACACGGGGTCCCCCTCGCAGTCCCGGGGGAGGCTGGGGTCTCCTGCAGCAAGATTCTTTCAGGCCACTTCCAAGGAGATGACAAGGCCACCGCATCCATAAAGACGGACGAGGCACCTCCACTCTGGCACCAGACGCGGAAATGGAAATCCCTCGACTGCTGTCTTACAGCGTGAACCTGCACTTGACCCGTGCACAGTGGTTACCGCAAGGCACTGAAACAAGCACTAGGTGGCCATCAGGGCAGTTACAAGACTGCTCTAAAGCAGCAAACGGGGCTGTCCGTGATATGCAGGGGGGCGGAGGTGGAGGGCACTCAGGAGGAACTTGACAAGGACAGAGAGGATCCTCGGCGTTCCCGAAAGAAAACCTTTTCCCAGGGCCACCCGGGACAGCAGGGACACCTGCTACTAGGCAGAAGCAGATTACAGATTTCGGGATGGGCGAGTGCCACCTACCCCTACAGGACATGCCTGTGACAGCTATCCACCATACCGCCACCTCTCAGGACCAGCACTCCCCGGATGCTAGCCCTACTAGGCGCTTCACCTGCACGATCTCAACCTCTTGAAGTAGACGAGATTGCCGAAGTAGATAAAAGATCAAGTCCCCACGTGCACTCACATGCTAGTAACTGGCAGAGGCAAGACTTGAACCCAAACACGATTCAGAAACCCGTGCTCTGGGGCGCCTGGGTGGCTCAGTCGTTAGGCATCTAACCTTCAGCTCAGGTCAAGATCCCAGGGTCCTGGGATCAAGCCACACATCGGGCTCCCTGTTGAGTGGGAAGCCTGCTTCTCCCTCTCCCACTCCCCCTGCTTGTGTTCCCTCTCTCGCGGTCTCTCTTGTTGAAAAATAAAATCTTAAAACAACAACTACAAAAAAAACCCCTTGTTTTCTGGTCAAGACCCTACCCCTTGCAGAAGGGCTGGGAAGGGGCTCCTGGAAAGACAAGGAGGGAGATGAACTCGGGGGACACTGACACACCCCACCCTCCCCTCAGAGGTCAGGAGGAAGCCCGCACAGCCGTGTGCTCAGGACGAGATCCTATCCCCCACGTGTAATCAAGGCAACGGGGAACTAACCTCCACTCTAACCCCAGTCCCAGAAAGGAAAGCCTGTTCCCACAGATGCTACTCCATTCTTCCCCAGGCTGTCCTCTAAGCTGATGCCCCAGGAGTCTTCCACAGAATCGGCAGGCTCCCCAGCAACCGGCCACAGCCTGGGCACGTCCGTTTTGTCCAGCCCCCAGGGCCACTCCTCACCAGCATCCTGGTACTGCTGGTAGGCTGGGTCACTCTCCGCTTTAAAGACCCCAATGATGATGACGTCATCCCCATCCTTCAGGAACTCCTGGACCTGCTTCAGGGACATGATCTCCTTGGAGGGTGGCCCGGACTGCTCGATCATGTAGTCGACGATACCTGGGAGCAAAGCACTTGCCTGAGGAGGGGCTCGGGGCTCCACGGCTCTCCCTATCCCCGACCTCCCTAGGGGAGCCCCCCCGCCCCACCCCACCGAGGCAGGACTAGGAGGCAGCCTACCGTATTTTTCCCGTGGGCCGTTGTAATCAAAAGGCTTTCCCTTGCGGAAGATTTTCAGGGTGGGATAGCCAGAGACATCGAACCTCTTGGCCAGGTCTGTCTCCACAGTGGCGTCGACCTTGGCCAGCGGGATCGGCGGGGAGCGCTTGCTCAGCTCCTGGGCGGCCTTGCCGTACTCGGGGGCCAGCTTCTTGCAGTGCCCGCACCTACAAGAAGCAGTGAGTCCGCGAGGAAACGGCTCCAGCGCGGACACAGCCTCTCTTCCGAGGGAGGCACCAAAACCCGGCCCGTGCTCCCGAGCAACTCGGGTCGGTGCAGCAGCCTCCGAAGGTCTCCCAGGTAGGGGCGGGGAGCCAGGCCCCTCTGGAGGCCAGCATGACATCACCGGCACTGGCACTCACACGGCGAGAGGATGCACACCCGACACACACACGCATGACACACACGTGTGACACAGGCACGAGTGGGACTGGGGCACAGGGGTAACCTATGGAAAAGGCTACGAGAGACAAGGGCCCAAGAAGGGAGATTCCCTCAGTTGGAGAGTTAGGACAGATGAGGACACCGAGTCAGGGGTGGCTTTGTACAGGATGTGACAGATGATCTGGGACAGGAAAGACCAGGAGGAGGTGGACCTGAGCCCGCCAAGGGTGGGTGAGGAGAGGGTAACGAAAGCACGTGGCCAGGACAGGAGAACACCCACGGCGAAGGTGGGCCTGAGCCATGGGAACTGGGAACGGAGACAACTTAACATAGCCCGTGTGCCTGGTACGATCAGGCAGCTCCCACGCGGGTGAGGGCCTGGCGAATTCCAGGCCCTGCGGACCATGCTGAAGGTCCTCAGGGCACCTCGCGGCTGCGCCCTGCGGTATGTAAACCGTCTGCAGGGAGAGGGTAACTGTTCTCTGTAGCGGCAGCAACACGGTGCCTTTGCTGTCTAAGCACGTCCTGAGCGTGCGACGCGAACAAGTACTCACTGACCCCGGCCCTGGGCAACTTCGATTTAGGATCCGTCACGGGTCGTGAGACATCCTTCAACACCTTCACCACCTCACGGCCCCCCTGCTCTCCACACGCAGCAGGCGCTCCTCCCGCCCCCACCCACCTGTCCCCTCCATGCACACATGTCCTACAGTGACCAAGGACAGTGACTTGTGTTGGGGAGGCCCCGAGCCTTGGGTCACTGTCACTCACGCCCTGGTCACGTTCCTGACTCTGGTCTACATCGCATAGCCTGACAAGCGGGAAGCCTGCACAAGAATCAGAAGCACTGGCTGACCCGGGCTGAAGTCCCTAAGGGAGGCTGACAGCCGTCCCAGAGCACTGGCCGCTACACTCCCATCCCCATGGAGGGCGGCCTGCCCTGCTGTCTCCTCCAGCGGCCCACACCTCCCTCTTCTTCTCACGAAGCACGGGAGCCGCAGCGCCTCGGCTCCCCAAGCTGCCACCTCGATCAGCCGCTCTCCCCAACTCCCCAGCTGCCTTTCTTTCTGGCATCTTCTCTCCCACATCCAGGTCCCCTGCCCCACCTGATTCCTGCCCCTGCATGTTTCCCCTGATCGTCTCTGCGCTCCTCTCCCGGGTCAGCTGTCATCACCTACTGTCTGGGGCCAGAACTGGCTGTTTCCTGCACGTGGTGGGGACACGCAGGCCACGTCCCTGCTAAGCTCTAAGGGACTGGCCCGATTCCTCTGCAGAGCTGGGCCTTCCTGTTTACTGACAGGCACATGCTTCCATCGAAACCATGTTCTAGGGCCACTGCCCCCAAACAGAGCTCATCAGGCCCCTGCAGCCCGGCTCTGCCGTTTCTCTCCAAAAGGGGCCCAGCTGTAATGGAGGATCTGGGGGCGAGAGAAGCAGAGGCCACAGGGTGAGTGGAGGTGACAGAAGGTAGGACAGCTGTGGGAACCCGGAGTCCCAAACACGAGAAGGGGACACGTCTAGAGCATGAAGCAAGGCTGAGGGTCATCTTCCAAGATTCACTCTGGAACGTCTCTGTCACAAGCGGGACAGAACCACTGTTCAGACTCCTCAGGAGGCAGTGATGCCGGAGGAGGTCACCTGAGGCCACCAGTTACCACTGCCCTGCCCACTGTGGTGGCAGCTCTGCTCTGTCCTCGTCACAGCTCATGAACTTCCGTGAACAGCAGTTCCATTCACCCCACACACGTGTCACCTCAGGCGGCCACAGAGCCACAGCTGTCCGAGGGCTCTCATGCTTTCTCAGCGCAGGGCAGGTATGTGATGACAAACATGGGACTCAGCACGCCTGGGGCAAAGCTGTGTCCTCTAGCCATGGGGGAACCTGGGCCACCTGGTGCCCCCTGATGCAGGTTTCACTCTCCTCTGCGCCACAGGCCCATGTCCGCCTCATCCCACCCCCTGGGAAAACCCCACTCGTCTCCGGAACTCTTCGCCGCCACGTCGGCCTGTGCCTGGTGGGGACTGGGCAGCCCCCGTGCTCGGCTCTGCCTCCCGCACAGGGGCCTCTGACACCCCCACCTTGTGGCCAGGGGCATTCAGGATGCAGGACGGGGCCCCTCAATGTCCGGGCAGCACGGGGCGAAGTCTTACCATGGGGCATAGAACTCCACCAGAATGATGTCTGCCCCGTCCACCACTTCATCGAAGTTCTCTTTGGTCAGCACCAGTGTGACTTCCGGAGGAGGCGTCCAGTTGGGCTGGGAGACCTCTTTGACCTTGGCAACAATTTCTGAAAGAAACCGAACAAGCCTGAGCCCAGGCAGACCCTCCCCGCAGGAGCAGGCGGGGAGGAGCAGACGGAGAAGCGGGGGCCATGGAGAACAGGAAACGAAAGTTCGAGTCCCTGAAAGCCAGCCACATCTCTGGCCAGTGCACTCCGCAGTCTGAAGCCACAGCTCAGGGAGTCCACTCTTCCTTGTCCTTCAGCTGCCCAGGAACTTCTCTGACAGCCCAAGACCCGGGTGACAAGAGGGACCCTGCTCCTGCCAGACTGTGGGGCAAACCGCGGGCTCCTCCCCTGCACATCAGACCATGCGTACCCGAGGTCTCGAGGGCATCCCCTCCTCGGGTACAAAGACCTGTGCGTTTAGTCACGCGGTGCAGCACCAGCACGTCACATGTCACAACAGGTGCACAAGAATCGAGAATGAAGAGGGACAGCACCTCCCCTGCTGCTCAGGCTGCATCAGCACCACGGGAAAGGTGGCGGCCTCATCCCGGAGACAGACCCACTGACGGGAGTGGGACACAGGACACACACCCAGAAGGCACCTGCCGAGTGGTTCTTTGGAACAGCGATGGCGAACTTGACATTTTTCTTTTTTCTTCTTTTCTGTTCTGCGCAGTCACCAAGAAGCTAGAGCTGAGATCCAGACGGACGTGTGCAGAGCAGGAACCCCACGGCGTGACCCCTTTGCCCCTCTGGCCCACAGCCCAAGCCCATCTCTGTCAGGGAGGCCCATTTACTACAACACACTTGGAACCCAGTGGCCCAAGGAGCCCCCTTGGGCAAACACCGCTCTCGAGATTCCAAGCCACCGCGCCTCTGGTGGTCCAACACTGGGCACGGACCTCCAAACGCTCACACCTGTCTACTTTCAACCAGTTAAGGACGCGGCTTTCAACCTGCTCTTAGACTACGTTCCTTTACATGCTGATACGGCAAAGACACCATTCATTAAGTAAAACATGCAAGTAAAACACAAGTAAAAAACTTGCAAATGGCGATTAAGATATGCTAATAACTGGGGCGCCTGGGTGGCTCAGTCGTGAAGCTTTGGGCCTTCGGCTCAGGTCATGATGCCAGGGTCCTGGAATCGAGCCCCGCATCAGGCACTTTGGTCGGCAGCAAGCCTGCTTCTCCCTCTCCCACTCCCCCTGCTTGTGTTCCCTCTCTCGCTGTGTCTCTGTCAAATAAATAAATAAAATCTTTGGGGGGAAAAAAAAAAGATGCTAACAATTGTGAGAAATGATATACATACACATACATTTGCTCTCACGTGTCCACAGTATCTCTGAAGGACACAGGAGACACCTAGTACATGAACTGCCTTCCCAGAAGGGAGCTGGACAGCCAGGGTCAGGTTATAAAGACTCCTATCTACTTCTTTGGGGTTTTTTTTGTTTTTTTAAGATTTTATTTATTTATTTGACAAACAGAAACATAGTGAAAGAAAGAACACAAGCAGGGGGAGCGGGAGAGGGAGAAGCAGGCTCGCTGCCAACCAAGGTGCCAAAGGCGGGGCTTGATCCCAGGACCCTGGCATCATGACCTAAGCCAAAGGCAGGCGCTTAACCGACTGAGCCACCCAGGCGCCCCTCTTATCTAACTCTTTGAATTGTGAACCCCGTAAACGTATGATCTAATCAGCAGACAGACAAACAAGGTGGAAGCATGTTAACAACTCTGACCTTTCCTTGCGCATCTGCGCCGGGTCGGATCCTTAGGGGGTCACAGGAGAGGCCCTCCGCCAGCTCGAGGGGAACTCTGAGATCAGATCCAAGTGACCCCCATTCCTCAGATGAGGAACCTGAGGCCTGACAAGGGGAAGACGCATGTCTAGGACACGCTATGTCCACTATGCCACAGTGGGAATGGAAACTGTAACCTGATGGGTTTTTTCTAGTGATTAAGATACCCCACATCAGTGGTTCTCAACACGGGGCCCTAGACCCACGGCTCCAGGTAAGCTCTGGGAGCCTGTACAAAATGCAAATCATCAAGCCTGACCTGAAACTTAGGGACCTGGGATGGGGCTTGGCACCGGCTTCAGGACCCCACGAAGTGACTGTGACCAAGGTCAACACAGAGAAGCACTGCTCTAGGGCACCGCCAAGAACCGCGGCCTCATGTGTCATATAACACACAGGCTCCACATTTGTTTCATGGTCTGAAATGAGAAGATATCCCTCCTACCCTAGGACAACTTTATTCTGATCTCCGTTACTTGGAACACCCCGGCAGGGAGCACTCCCAGAAGCTGGTGCTCCTGGGGCCACGCCCAGCCCACTCACCTTGTCCTTGTCTCTATCATCCAAACCCCCCCGCCAACCTTCCAGTGGGGGGACAGTCCCAGCCCCGCCTCCTCCAGGAGCACAGGCTCCGCTCACCTTCCTGAGTCCTGGAGCCCTCGTAGTCCACAGCCTGGCCCTTCTTAAGGATCTTGATGGTGGGGTAGCCACTCACCCCAAACCTGCCGGCCAGCGCCGACTCTGAGGTCGCATCGATCTTGGCCACAGGAATGGGAGGGTCATTCTCCTTCAAGGCACTGGCGATTTTCTCATACTCCGGAGCAAACTGCTTGCAATGTCCACACCTGAGGAGATTTAGGGAAGAAGGTGGTTAACTGTACCCACAGAGACTTAACACGCAGCAACGTACAGAGGGACGGGGGCGCCAGGACCAGAATGACTGCAATTAAGAGGAGCCATGCAGGTAACACAATGAGGAGGACAACGCGGCTAGAGTCGGGCAGATGGGGGCCGGAACTCCAGCTCTGGCTTGGGCTCATGCCTCCAACACCTCCAAACCCCCACGCTTTCGTCCATAAGCTTCTCAAAGTTTGTCCAGGGAACCCCTCCCATGGGGTCTGTGAGGTTAAAAACTCTTTACAAAAGATCTTCCTGGTCTTCTTCACTCCCCTGCTCAGAGCACACCGTGGAGTTTTCCAGAGGCTACCCGGCTGACCACAGGGGCAGCACACTGATGTTAACATGGAAGGGGTTAAAAATGGATTAATAAGGAAATTTTTGTTTCAATGTCTACTGTGGTGACAACTGACAGCCATGACCCACATGAACTGTTCGGACTCACAAGACCGAAGAGTTTGAGAAGTACTGATCTACGAAACACTGTAACCTCACGGAGCTGCTCGAGGACTATTTATGTATTTTACACAAAACACCTCACACCTGAGCATCAGGCATTGGACCAAAAACTAAGAGTGTCTTAACTATTCCGTCTCAAAAGTGAACCAAGGAGGGCAGGGGAAAGAGGACAGACAAGAAGGGATTCTGAGATCAAGAGCGGCAACGGAGGGGACAAGGAAGGGCACACAGGGTGAAGGACAGCACGAGCGGGGTGGCCGCTGCCCGCCGGGGACGGTGCGCCTTCCCACACTGGAAACGGCCCGCAGGCCCCACCTGGCAGGAGAGGGCAGCGGGGTGACCGGGAGACGGGTCAGGGCAGAACCTGCAGGTAGGGACGGGTCTGTCACCAACACCGGCCTCCATGCCATCACAGGCCCACGCCCCCGCCGTAACCACCAGAGGACACGTTCCTGCTTCACACTGCGGGCTCACCAGAGGCTGAGCTCCTGGCATTCCTACTCCCACACCCGCCCCCTCCACAGGGTCTGGAGGACTGTGAGGCGAACACATGGGAGCACAGAGGGACCCCCTCGTCCAGGCTGGTGGGATGAGGACAAGGGTCCTTACCACGGAGCGTAGAACTCCAGCAGCACCGTGTCTTTGTCAGCCACAAAGTTATCGAAGTTCACGTCATTCAGGACCAGGACCCCATTTTCTTCCTTGACTTCCAAGTCATCGTCCTCCTCTTCCTCTTCCACCTCCTCCTCTTCCTCTTCGTCCTCAATGGCATCCTCCTTATTAGAAGAATCTGAGCAGAAAATATCCACTCGTTAGTAAATTGGTGACTCTCCTCCTTAAAAACTTTCCTAGAACCCCAAACCCTCCAAATGTGTCGTGAGTCCCGAGTGGCCCGAGGGCCACCACGAGCCGGGGTGGGGACGTCAGGCCCCCCCCACCCCAGAAATTCCGCTCTGAAGTTTGCATACTGGGTAGCCACTTAGGAGCTCACTTAAAGAGAGGTCCTGGTTACAAAGACGTTTGCAAAGCACCGGTCTAGAAGTTAGTCTCAGTGCCCCAGCGGGACTCGAGGGCTGGCAAGGTGCCTCTGTGCACGTGGCCCCACAGCCTGGCCCTGGGGGCCTCCTGCCCAGGCTGGGAGAATCCTAACCGTCCGCCCCTCGTGCCGCACTGGGGTCTGATCCGTTCCCCAGCACCACCCCGCTGCCGCACCCCTAGAGCAAGGCTCCTTTATCCACATCCTGGGTTCTGTGCTCTAGGGCACGTCAGGGCGAGGCTGACCTTCCCCGACACCCTCGTCTTGCTCACACACCACGCTTTCCACAGGCCGGGCCGCATTGAGCCCCCCATGAGCAAATGGCTGCCCGGCCCCCAAAACAACACCCGCAGGAAACGGGTACTCGCCTCAACTTTTCCTTCTGGAGGACGGACCACTACTTCCGTTTCTGAAAGGGGGTGGCATTCTACCTTATCTGTACAAACACAACCCGCAGGCTTCAGTCCTTCACACAGACGGGAGTGTGCAGGGAAGCGGGTAGGGAATTCTACTGACTTAGGGAGTCACCCCAGAGTAATCCCCAGGGCAGGAGTTATCCCACAAAGATTTTTTTTACAGATTTACAGGGTCAACGTGCATCAAAAATACACAATAGGGGGACACCTGGGTGGCTCAGTGAGTTAAGCCTCTGCCTTTGGCTCGGGTCATGATCTCAGGGTCCTGGGATCGAGCCCCACAGCGGGCTCTCTGCTCCGCGGGGAGCCTGCTTCTCCCTCTCTCTCTGCCTCTCTGCCTACTTGTGATCTGTCAAATAAATAAAATCTTTAAGAAAAAAAAAATACAGGGCGCCTGGGTGGCTCAGTGGTTAAAGACTCTGCCTTCGGCTCGGGTCGTGGTCCCGGGGTCCTGGGATCGAGCCTCACATCGGGCTCTCTGCTCAGCGGGGAGCCTGCCTCCTCCTCTCTCTCTCTCTGCCTGCTTGTGATCTGTCAAATAAATAAAAATCTTAAAAAAAAAAAAAACACAATAGGGGCGCCTGGGTGGCTCAGTCGTGAAGTATCCGCCTTTGGCTCAGGTCATGATCCCAGGGTCATGGGATCGAGCCCTCCATTCGGCTCCCTGCTTCTCTGTCTGCCTCTCCCCTGCTTGTCTTTCCTCTATCACTGTAACTGTCAAATAAGTAAATAAAATCCTTAAAAACAAAAAACAACAACAAAAAAACAGCCACACAACAAATCGCACCTAGGCAGGATGCCTTGCCTGGAAACAAAGCTCTCTTCCCCAAGCACCAGAATCTGAGCTCATCTCACTACTGGCTTTCAGGGAATCTTTCGCCCAACTTCGGACACAAGGAACCATGGGACGGTGGTTCCTGCCACCCAGCTCCTCCCGCTGTGGCCTCAGCAGCCAAGTAGAGCCGTAGCCGGACAGTGTCAAGGGGCCAGTTACTCTTTCCCGAGAAGCCTCCCGGGAGATAAAGCGAGTCTGCTGGTTCTGTGCTGGGGGCGGAGGATGAAGTCAGCCTCAGGATCCGGGAGCCTCCGGGACCCACCCCACCCTCGCCCTGCCCCTAACCAACCCACGGCTGGCTCCACAGCTACTGGGACAAGCCAGGGAACTGGTCTGGGCGGCATGGCAGCTTTGTCCCTTTTCGTGAAAATCTACCAAGCTGCAAACTAATTACAAAATACAAACCAAAAACCCACCAGGGGCCACACTTCGCTCAACCACGCTCCTTAACACTCCCCGTTGTCTCTCCCTAACTTCCACGTTTCTCTCTCCAGCTTAAGGTAAAGTTCTCCTCCTTTGTGGGGGGAGGAAGAAAGGCCTCTAAAATCCCAAAAGAAAAGCCACCAGTTTGAGAAGTACAAACCAAGCAGACTCCCTGCTTCCCAGGGCCATGGCTCTCCAACACCCGCTCGCCCCTGTCCTCCCTCCTCCACAGCAGAACTGTAGAAAGGACAGGCCTGCAGAGGCCCCGGCCCACAGCACTGTCATCGGGCCTCCTGGAAAAGCAGGAGGGCGGGACCTGGGGGAAGACGATGGGGGCTCGAGCCCCATCTGCACCTCTGAGGCTGAGGGCATAAACCAAGTCCCCTTCCCCTGGTGACGGGCAGCCAACACTCCACACCCGGGTCTTGGAGAATTTGAGCACACAGACAGGGCTCTTGGGAACCTGAGTTTAACACTGGCTGGCTAGGGTTTCCAGGTGCTTCTGGAAATACTGCCTACAGCCACCCCGCAAGGCAAGAACCGAGTACTGAGCTTTCCTGTGGTGGCCTGTGCGACAGCAGTCACACTGGCTTTCCAAGAGGCCATTCTGACCACCCATCACCTGGAAGTCCTACCCAGAATGACCTTGGGACAGCTGCAAATCCGAGGACTTGATGCAGGGACACTGTGCAGGTCAGGGGCCTAGAGGGCACCGCACACATGGCCTCCGATCTGGAGGCTTCCCTCGGACCGGACGGCCTGCTGAGGGCGGCTGGCCAGGGCTCAAGGGCCACACAGATCCACGCTCACTGCCTGACTGCTCTGCCAATGCGGGAGCCAGATGAACCTGCAGGTGCACAGAAAGACTGGAGCACGGAAGGAAAGAACGATCCCGGGAACTTAATCTACACTTCAGAGGACCTGACAATCCGCTCAAAGCATAGGGACAGGTGAATTTTACAAAAAAAAAGGACAAGCAAAGATGCCTTCTTTCCTACACTCAGCCTGCCGTGGTCTGTGAGCACCACTAGTGACAGAGCTCTCGCGATACACTGGGTGTCCCTGAGCTACCAGGGGACAGAACTCCTAAGAGTGAACTCATTTCTTGATCCTTGGGGGAAAAAAAAACCAGGGAACTTTTTCTTTTTTAAAGGATAATACACAAAACGACAGAACCTTGCCCACCTAATTAAAGGCTCTCAAACGCATCAGGGCATGCCGCTACCTTCCCAGTCCTTCCCAGCCCGCACGTAACCCCAGGACTGTACCCTCCGCCATCTGAGAGGGCACTGGCTCTCTATTCCTACCTCCTAGAAACCCCCACATCCCCACAAGGAAAACATCCCACATCCTAACAGGAAACCATTTTTTCAGTGGGCTTTACTTTTAGGGCTGGACATTCTAGGACAGAAAATATATCCACAGCCTTCTAGCATCTTCTGGGTGGGTGCCATTCTCCTCAGTATGAGGCCGATGAAGCCTCCCACACCACCTCCACAGTGCTCAGCCCACCTGGTAAGGCCATTCCAAGTGGTGGCCCCAGACCCCTGCGATCCTGTCCACTCTCAACAGGACCCCTGATGGCAACACCGGAGCCCTGCCCAGCCTGGTCGCAGGCAGCTCCCTCCGCCATGTCCTCGCTCTACTCCCTCCGCTGCTCATTCTTCAGTCCCCACTGGCACCTCCAAGAGCTGGATAAACTCTACCATTAAGTCAACACTTTAGTTGATATTAAACATGGAGAAAGAGAAATCTGTTATCAGACGGATCACTACAGCTGGCCTGTGTTACATGCCAGGCACCACGCTGAGCCCTCAAACACAGTCTCTCATCCCTTCAGGGAAACATGATGTGCACTTTACAGATGAAGAAACTAAGGCACAGACAGGGTAAGTCACCTGCCCAAGGACCACCAAGCTACTTAGTGGAGGGTCCTGACCACTCAGGTGCCGTCTGTTGTCGCCTCAGATCGTTTCCTAACATGCCCAAAGCTTTAGGTGGAATCACTGGATAATTACTTCTCAGGAATGAAAAGAGGGGGGCTGAACACTTCTTCAGCACTACACACACGTGGATTCCCACTTGACTTTTAATCTAAACCAATCCCAAATAAAAACAGCCAACAACCAGCATCAAAGTGTTTTTCATTTGCTATTTTAGCTGGAAAAATGTGAAAAGCACAGGTGATTTCTCATCTCAGACACAAAAAGACCCACAAACTAAGGCTTGCACTACCAGAGCTCAATCTATCTAGTAAACATATTCTGGGGGCGGGGGGGGGGGGAGGTTGTCTTTTGTGACACCACTGTGCTGCTTGAATCTGAAACATAAGAGACACAAAACAAAAACAAAACCTAAAGACTTAGAACTTCTGCACTGGGAGAGAAATGTGGCCCCAAAATTAATCTTCAGGACAAGTTACTTAAGAAAGTGAAGGACCAGGGATGCCCTCAGGGATGAGAAAGGGTCCAGGTAGGGACTAGACCTCTCCACCCTATCCCCTCCAACCCCTGAGACACTGCCCTGGAAGACCTGCCATGACCATGACAACTCCAGAGGCACCTGCTCCCCAGGGCCTTCCCAGCGTTAGCGACCTGTCTCCCAAATAATAAACCTGCTTGTCCCAATAACCCTTGACATGCACCCCAAGTTTGCCAGTCTTGGGCCTCTTAAGAAACCCCTCAGAACAGAATCATTAGATCAAAATCAAGACAAAACTATAACGCTTTTTAGCTATATTCAAAAAATGACCCTCCATCCTCACTGGTCCTCAAACTTTAAGGTGCCCCCCCAAAGTTTAACTTGCATGTGAATCAATGAATAACATGCTTAAAATGCAGATTCCAGGGCTCACCACTGCCATCTGCTTTAGCATATTTTGGGACTCTATATTTATTTATTTATTTATTTATTTATTTATTTTAGGGTTTTATTTGACACAAAGAGAGAGTATGCACAAGTAGGCAGAGCGGCGGCAGAGGAAGAAGGAGAAGCAGGCTCCCCTCTGAGCAGAGAGGACCCTGGGGTCATGACCTGAGCCCAAGGCAGATGAATGAGCCACCCAGATACCCCTGGGACTCTGTATTTTAAAAAAGCATCAGGTGATTTGAATAAAGGTCCCAAAACTCACATGAAAGCCACGGTCTACTTCCTCTCGGCAGGTGTCTTTATCACCAAGTGCTGATTCTTACTTCCCTTTCTATTTGGGTTTAAACTTGAATCAGTGACCCACACAGAAGTTACTCAATCTGTCTGAAAGGGTATAAAGTTCACACCTCCCCTACAGACTAATATTAGAAAAGGAGGTTTATTTATATTGGCCCAAACTGGCTGGGACGATCCATCATCAGGAGAAAGCCCAGAGAGGAAGAAAGTTGATGCCTGTTCTCTAGGAACAGCATTCTTTTCTGGACTGGTACGTTCTAGTTATCAAAGGACTCTTATGCCATTTGTTTTCAGCTAGCTGGTTTCCAAGAAAAATGCGGGAACCAGGACTAGTAGCTGTCTAATGTTCCTACTAGAGCCGGAGCTTTATGGGAGGTCAGTTCCCTGCTCAGTAACTGGCACGTAGTAGGTGTTGAATAAATGATCGCAGAGGGGAATGGAACCTTTGGCTTCTAAGAAATGCAAACCAAGCCGTTGTCCCTTTCTCCCTCAAACACACACCCATGAGTTATTTATTTCCAAATCTACAAACCACGTTTTTAAAAGACGCTTGATGCCCGAGGCTGCCGTGGAGAGCTCCTACCGGGCCTTCTCGCCTTTTCTCTAATACCTGTCTGTTTTGAAAACAGTGGCCCCCTCTTCCTGCACGCTCCCTGGGCGTGTTCGCCTGGAAATTTTAACTAGCTCCAGAGCTCCCCTGGCAAGAAGCGAGCAGTCAACCTGAACCCAAGTATAATCTGAGCGCAGTTGGGGCGAAGGAGCCAGTCGCAAAAAAGGCACTTGGCACCCTCTCCGCGTCCTAAGCTTCGGCGGCAGGGGCTTCCTAGGAGGCCTCCGCCGCCCTCCTCTCCCGAGATCTCCTAAGCGATTCCGCTCGCCGCCACTGCCCTTAAACTCTGGCAAGTTGGCGCCAGGCGCCAGTTTCGGAAGGGCTCCGCATGAAACCCACCGGTCCTCGGTCGCAGCCACCCCGGTCCCCAGCGCGGGCCCCTGGGGCCCATGAGGCCCGGCCCGCCGCCGGCCGCTCACCTTCATCGGGCCCCCAGGCGCTCGCGGCGACCAGCAGCTGCGCCAGCGCCAGGAGCAGGACCAGCAGACACGCCTTCCGGAGCCTCATCGCGGCAGTGCGCAGCGCCGCCTCCCTGCGCCGACAGCCCCGGGGCGCTCCCGGACCTCGGGCCCTCGCCTCTGGAGCGAAACCGGAGGGAAGGCAAGAAACCCCCCAGGAAGTCCTCGCCAGCGACCGGCTGGGGGCGGGGAAGCCGCCGGCGGGCCAATCCCAGCCGCACTGGGGGCGCGGGCCGCGTGCGCCTCGCTACGCGTCGGAGCCCGGCGGCGCCGCCCTCCGTCCCGGCCCTCCTCCCCGGCCTCCTCCGCGCGCCCCGCGGCTCGCGCGTTTAAAGCTCCGAGCCCTAACGTGAGGTGCCCCCTTCTGATTGGCTGCGCCGCGGCCACCAATCAGCGGCTGCCACTCGGTTTGCCGGGAGCGCACAGGCTGAGAGAAGGAGTGAAGGAGAACAAAGGCGGCGGGCATGGGCCGGAGGGGCGGGGCGGGGCTGCGCATTGGGGCGCGATTGGCCGGGGCGCCGGGGGGCGGGGCGGAACCTGGGAAGGAGGGGCGGTGTGGAGCTCCGGGTCCCGCCGCCAAGCCTGGCTGGAAGAACACGTGTCCTTACCGGATCTGTGGGGAGAAGGATGTTCTCGCTACTAGCTGGGCCTGGGAAGGCTTGAGGTCGAAGCGACAGAAGGGCCTGAGCAGGTTATACTCATGGGAAAAGAGAACGTGGCTCTTGAGTCTGTTTTGCGTTCGTGGGCTTCTTAGTTTTTTTGTGTGCCTCTGAGCAAATAAAAGTTTGCATTTTTTTCCTGGGTTAAAACACCTATTGGCTTTGGGGGCGGGGATGAGTACGCGGTAAAATGAATCCAGACCGAAGAGTTCTGGAAGCTGCTCTCCATGGCTTCATCCATGAACAGACCATCAGTTGCTTGTCTAAACTTTGTCTTATGTTGTTTGTTCCTCTAGTGATGTTCCCCAAAAGTGCAAGACCAGATGGTCAATCTAGTGGCCTGCATATATCTAAGTACAGCCCAGCTTTTCCCTCTTGACAACGTAAAAGAAGAAAATTATGTTAAAATGATTTTTGTATGGCAAACCTGTGGTGTGTATTAGGGTTTGAGACTTCTTCCACACGAGGGGATTAACATGCCTGAAGAGTTGGAGAAGACAATTAGGAGTTAAAATTTCTAGTCCAGGAGTATTTTTCTGTGTATACGGATTGGGCCAGGAAGGAAGAAAGCTGGTTACTCACAGGCTTCAGCATTTAGAACATTTTTAATTTAATAAATCTTTAATGAATTCCTATGAATCTGATGGTTCTCCCCTCAATTTGTAGGGCAGAAAGACATTCTGCAACTAACACCACCAAAGTTTACACTAAGTGACTTATTTGAATGCTAGGAATGTAGAATATCAAACAGTTCAATATCATTTTATATTCATCTGTTTTTAAATTCCAGTATAGTTAACATCCAGTGTTAGTTTCAGCTGTATTTTTCAAAATGTAATAGATCCATAAGAAAAAACAATTTAAAGAAAATTTTTTAAAATCTTCCTTTTAAAGGTAAAGCTTACTCAGAGATGAGATGCATTACCTTATCCCCAGCTGACCTAACTAGTCACTAAGAGGGGGAAAAAAAACCTATATGAGGATATGATAATTTTCCAGGAGGGGAAGACTTTGGGCCATTGGCAAAGCTAGAGTTGAACCATTTGAACCCCTTTCCTGGATGGGTGCAGTAAATTAGGTGACTATTTATTATAGTGTCAAGGCCACATAATTTCCTGACTTAAGAGTATGGGGAGAAGCACACTAAGACAAGGGTTTGTGGAATGCTAACTGTGAGGTAGGCATCGAGTGAGGTCCAGTGACCATAATTACTGTCACTTACCTTATGAAATTTATAAACTTGGGAAATTAGTGATCTCTGAGCACTACCTGACAGGCATTCTGCTGAGCATTTCTGCATGCATTCCCTCCTCCCCACCCCCACCTGCCCTCCCCCCTTAAATCCTACAATAATCCTATGGCCTGAGCATTGCTTTATCCTCATCTTACAGAGATTGAACTGAGACTTGAAGAGCCTGCTCATCTAGTCCCAGGTCGCACTGCTATTGACTATCAGAACATATGACAAATAATGTAGGATATGAACCTTCTGACTCCAGCATTCCTGGTTTTAACTGCCCCTCTGTGATCTCTGACATTTTATTTATTTTTTTATTTATTAAAGATTCTATTTATTTATTTGCTTGTTTATTGGAGAGAGAGAGAGCATGGGGGAGGGACAGAGGGGAAGGGAGAGGAACAAGCAGTCTCTGTGCTGAGCTCAGAGCCCGACACAGGGCTTGATCTCAAGACTTTGAGATCATGACCCCAGCCCAAAAGGAGAGTCAGCTGCTTAACCAACTGCGCCACCCAGGTGCCCCTCTGATATTTCATAAATTAGTAGGCCTTATCATCTATTCTTCTTGAACATTTGTCAAGACGTCATGGAGAAACCTCTCATGCCACAGAGATACAATGTGAATGGGGCCCTGTCTTGGTCCCTCTGGGCCGCTCTCACAGGAGTCCACAGACTGGGTGGCTTATGAACAACGGAAGCTTATTTCCCACAGTGCAGAGGCTGCAAGGCCAAGGCCAAGGCTCTGGCAGATTCCAGGTCTGGGGGGACCACTTCCGGGTTCATAGACGCCATCTTCTCACTGTGTCCTTGAGTGTCATGTTGGAAGGGGCCAGGGTGCTCTCTGGGGTCTCTTTTATATGGACACTAATCCTGTTCCTGAGAGCTCCCCTCCCTCATGACCTAATCACCTCCCAAACCATCACAGTGGGCATTAGGGTTTAACATATGAAATTGGGGGGGTGCCCACAGACAGTCAGTAACAGATTCCTTTGAGTCAGGCAATCCCTGGCCATCTCTCCTGAAGGGAGAAAAGCAAGGTTCCCTGTGAAAAGAACAGATTTTGCAGTCTTGCCATCTCATGCTCAAAGCTAATATACACTCTGAAGATGGTATTTTTACATAATCCCTAAAGAATTCTGTTGAAGAAATAACTCTATAGCCATGGGCTTGACGCAGTGAATCAGCCCACTCGGGGATCTGACCCATCACTTTATTCTCACCACTCTGGTGAGACGTGCGCTTGAGCTGATAGCTACTGATACCCAATAAAGAAATCCCATCTGAGTTTGTGGTCATTACCAATGAGGGAAGTCTTTGGCCACTGGTAAATGAGAAAGTTAATTTCATGAGTTTGATGCTCCTTGGTATTTTAATATGGAATGATTTATTGTGGCTTTTTTTTTTTAAACCACAAAAATAGGGGCACCTGGCTGGCCCCATGGGTAAGCGGCTGACTCTTGACTTCAGCTCAGGTCGTGATCTCAGGATCATGGGATTGAACCCTGCCACAGGCTCTGTGCTCAGCTGGGAGTCTGCTTGAGATTCTCTCTCTTCCTCTGGCCCCACCCTGCTTTCTCTCTCTCTCTCAAATAAGTAAAATAAAATAAATCTTTTTAAAAAATAAACTGCAGAAGCTTGTACACCTGAGACAAATGTAACATAGTGTGTCAAATGTATTTTAATATAAAAAAAAACTCACAGACACAAAAATATTATGATGATTTCGGGCAATGCTCTTGGGTCCCCTCCCTCTTCGGGAGCTTTGTATTATCACTTTGCTATCACTCAATAAACCTTGCCTTCCTGCCCACCAATAATAATAATAATAATAATAACAATAATGGTGGTTTAAGCCCTACAGATATTTCACTTACATGGTTTTGAGCAGCATGAAATAGTTGGTAATTTTTAAAAATCAGCATCATGTTTTGATCTTTAAAAAAACTGCAGAACCATTGAGCTGAATTACATTAAATTGTTACAAAAGCTGATTTTGTTGCCATTGTATGAAAAGCTCTAAAGAGAAACATATTCTGTAGGCGTTCAGTTCTCAAATGAGCTATGGTTTCTCCAGTTGGTCAATCAAAATATTCTGAAATTCCTTGAAGACTGGGATACACCCTATTATTTCTGCTGTATAACTATGCACGGATCATACAACAATAAGCTCTCTTCCATTTTCATAGCACTGGGATATAGCCATGAAAGTAACTTTGTGGGGCGCCTGGGTGGCTCAGTGGGTTAAGCCGCTGCCTTCGGCTCAGGTCATGATCTCAGAGTCCTGGAATCGAGCCCCGCATCGGGCTCTCTGCTCTCTAGGGGAGCCTGCTTCCTCCTCTCTCTCTGCCTGCCTCTCCGCCTGCTTGTGATCTCTCTGTCAAATAAATAAAATCTTTAAAAAAAAAAAAAAAGAAAGTAACTTTGTTTATAGACAAATGAGATTTAAGTTTTAAATTTGACACTTGTACGTTGTGCGTAAGGAAATGGTCAACCATGTTAAAGCTGAAACACGGACAGGTGAAGATTATCAAACATCTGGTTTTTTAAATTTAATTTATTTATTTGACAGTGCGAGCAGAAGCAAGAGGAGCAGCACAGGGAGAGGAAGAAGCAGACTCCCCACTGAGCAAGAAGCCCAATGAAGGACTCAATCCCAGGACCTGACTGTGGCCCTAGAGAGCTGTGGGTTTTGTGTGCCAGGTCTCTGGGTAGAATCCTTGTGAAATTCTGGAGATGGATCTGTGTATATCCTCCTATACTTAAGAAACCTGACTGGTTGTTCAGTCTTTGTACAGAACTCTTCCCTTGCCTTTGAACTCTGACTTTGAAAGTCTGCGCACTCTGTACTATACATACCTGATCTTCTCTAAAGCACCTTGTGGGGGAGAAGGTGCCTTCTCCATTCTAGAACCTATGTAAGTTACAGCACCAAGGATTCAGCTCCCTGAACCTCAGGGAGGTTGTTAACTTCGTCACCATATTATTACTGGCATTGATCCTGGAGACATACTTGATATACCAAGGTAGAGGGCAGTGAGAGTAAGGACACCGGGAAGTCCACGGTCAGTGACATAGCCCGTGACTTGGTGGATACCCTCTAAATAACGGAGAGCAAGTGGAACCAGACACGTCGGGTCCTGTCAGCTGTGCTACTGTCACATCCTCAGCTTCTGACTGGTGCCAAAGGGACGCTTTGGGATAAGGCTCATTCTACCTTCATAAGGAAAGGCAAGAACATTTATTTAAAAAGAGGACAGAATTAAGA